ATTACGTCAAGTGTCCGAATATAACTGGCACGGGTCTGTATATTGAAACGTCATTTTAATTTATCGCAACAATGAGCGATGTTTTCAGTCCCGAAGCGCGATCACTATTCATTTGAAATGATATAAGCGACGGTCGAACATGTTCCTCCCGATAATTTGTGCGCAACGACATTTTTTTACCCACAGAGGAGTCATGCTTAAGTGTTTCCCAGGTGGGCTTTCATTTAAAACAGTCGTTTCAAGTTTCAACTAGTTCGTGTTGTTTGGATAATGTTTGAACAGCATTATTTTGACTTTAAATGCAATATTGTCCGAGAGACGTCACATGGTCTTTCAGCGGCCTTGTCCACGGATTTATATTTGATATACTTCCATACCTTCGCTAATTATTTCAAATGAGGTGGACGCTGGCTTGGATGAAGCATGTCAGTGTATCCCGATTTCGTGATGCGTATGATGTCAATTATCTGGTTCAGATTATTTACAGAAAATGGCTGGAAAATTATTGAGTGCGGAATTAAAAAAGAAACAGGCTCTTAAAACAGTTATAAGTTATACAGATGTCATCCTGATACGATGGCACGCTGCTTCCGGCGTTGATGGTGATCTGGAGATTTAATGTCCGCTTTCTGACATAATGCGTATTTCGCACACGGAACCAATTCCTGCAAACGATGATGGTTATTTATGTGGCGCTTCTTTAAGTCTTCAGCAGTCCATCCAACATCCTCGATAAACGATGCAGAGAGAGGGCCACAACACACCAAGGTTAGGCTACAGATGAAGCAAGAATTTATGCTTCCCAGCATCCCATTTATGAAACTGGACACACATACATCCCTAGCACCACTTAAAGATGTAGAAAAATGAAGGAGAGAGAAGTGGTCTCAATTTACGATAGTTATCCAGACTATTGTCTGACAGTAAATGTTCATGATTTGTTTGTTGTTTAACGCCATATTCCAGCTGTATGGCAGCGGTTTATTAATAATGGGGTCGGACAGACAATCCTGTGACTGACATCATCTGCATCGATCTACACTATTGGATAGTATCATACGCTGTCGTGTAAGCTAGTCTGACCACCTGATCCCGCTTTTTCCAAATTTCATAATCAGCAAAATGTGTAACTACTTGCACATAATTATTCTACAAGACTACAGACTTTTGTTTAAACTTATTACCATTTGTTAACCATTCGTCCAAGGCACCACGATTCGCTGTGTAGAGTTGTGTCTGTGGGGCACACCAGAAACACCACTTTTACGTAATTCCTACCATCACTCAACCTTTGTACGCTGACGGGGCGATGGGGTAGCCTAATGGTTAAAGCGTTCGCTCGTCACGCCGAAGATCCGGTTCGATTCCCCACATGGGTACACGGCTAGCCCATTTCTGGTGTCCCCCGCCGTGATATTGCTGGAATACTGCTAAAGGCAGCGTAAACCCCACCTCACTCACTCTCTTATCTAACAAAGACAACGTTGGTGAGTAGCTCCTTGAATAATGCTGATACATTATATCCATGTCTGAAGTCACGGTACACCTAGACTGAATCATATATCAGCGTGGTAAACCACATCTGTTGATCACAGACATGAAATATATGACTTATGTATTCATTTATCGACGTAACGCTGACTTGTACATTCGTGCCAAGTCAAAACAGTCTCGTTTCCTGCTGACTGGGTTCCGTATTATTGCGCAACTTAGTACAATAACCAGTACAGAATTATGAGACCAACTCATTCAACTGGATACGTAAATATTCATCAGTATTATTTGATACATCTAATCACTTGTATATTGCAACACTACGATCCTTCTACTTGCAAACATATTGTGCAGCGTGCTCTGTCGGAAAGCGTGCTCTGACAAACGGAAATCATGGAAAACTCAAAACGAGGCTCTGCCGCTAGAAAGGTTTGGCGGTCTGGTACGGACTTGATATTATATCAATCACATTGTACGTTACGCAAATACATTTTAAGAACACATAACAGGTGTAACCAGTGAGCCAGATGAATTGTGAATCATTGTATGACCTCTTCAAAAGGGGCAGTCTGTGACGTCTTAGTTAAAGACATGCTGCCTAAACCTCGACATAGAATATAGAAATACGATTTATCTAAACTTTAAAATTAAAATTAATTTATAAATATCATTTTCTTATGTAACAAGGAATTTGAATTCATTGTAACCACAGTTGTTTGTAGTGTCTCTTTTCACTACCACACGAGAAAATTAGGATCGGCTGAAAAGTAGGTCATTGTCTGAATTGGTTAATGAGACTCATGTTTCGGTTTGCTAATCAGGTGCAACTGTACATATGTCACTGGCCGTCTTCAGCACCTGTTCTGTCACATGTCATCCAGACAGGTCACAGGTAAGCTTGTCATATGTGATAAGTTTTTTCCCGTCTTTATCTGTAGGATATCTTTTAATATTATTTGGATCTGAAACCAAGTTGGTAAAAGTTTCGCAACTTTCAGTCCTTATGCCAATATTTTGAAGTTTCACGTATTTCGTTTGAACGTCAGGGACATTTATGTTATGTTGTGGAAAACGTTGGTCGTACGTTTACTTGCTATGAGTCACCTTAGCAACATGAATTATATTTAAACGACTGCTCAAAAGAAACTATACACCGCAAAATATAATATAAAAATTCACAAAAATAAAAATCAAGTGATAAAACCATATTGAGCCATGTCACACACGTACAGACCACCGCCTCCGTGGTGTAGTGGTTAGAGCATCCGCCCGGAGAGCGGAAGGTCGCGGGTTCGATCCCCGACCGCGTCATACCAAAAGACGTTAAAATTTGGTACTTGTTGGTCCCTGTCTGGCGCTCGGCATTAATGGGTACAATAAGGACTGGTCGGCTCGGAGTCAGTTTAATGTGTCTGAGTGGGGTATTCATGCTTCACTGCGGCATGGTATCTCAGTGGGCTACCACTATAAAACCAGCTTCAGTCTGGGCTAGTACAAGCAGCCGCACATACACATACACACGCATGCACGTCGTCATATGAGCGAAATATTCTCAAGCACGACGTAAAACCCAATTTCACCTCATCACCTCACGTCCAGACCAATCCTTTCCGAGGAACAAAAGGCGAAGCAAGAAAACGACTTTTTCTGATGTAACACGAAATGCACGTGCACACGGACGGTATAAAACAGCACAGTAGCAAAAACAACACCAAAAATATGCCATGTTCGAGGCAAATCGAAAGAGAGAGATAGCTGTCGGAATGGCCCAACAAGAAGCTAACTGCACCGATGATACAGAGATGAAGTTTTGCGACCAGTTGTGTTGCCATTTATCCTGCAACATCCACCATAACGCAAGGCCTCACACAGCAAGACTGATTAACGACTTTCTGCATAACGCTAACATCGTTGTTTTGCCTTGGCCGACATGAATCCGATAGAACACTTTTGGGACTACCTGGATCGACAAACCAGCGCCACCTGTCACCGCTCATCAACTGGAACAATGTCTCCATTAATAGGAATGGCAACGGATCACGCGAACGTGATTCGTCGTCTTACGTCATCAATGCGTCGACGTGTTTTGGCTTGTATTGAAGCCAATGGTGGTCACACTCACTGTTGATACAACATTTGATGACATTTTGCAGAAATAAACGTCTTGTTCATTTGTGTAAAAGTTCAGACTATGATGCCACGTGAACAACGAGGAGAGTTCTATGGATATACAACTTCTTTAATATAATATGAGCGACGTTTCGGTGTAGCTACTTACACCGTTATCAAGCAAATGATACAAAGTACAATACAAGGTATTGTGAATTTCGTGCAAAGTCGCCAGGGACTGTGACTTGCAGAAGACTTTTCCATGTTATTCGTGTACGTGTTACTGGGCAGTAAAACTGCGACAACATCCTGGAGGTACACGTGGTGCCATTTCCGCGCCGACATTGCCGTAGTTTTGTGTTTCAGGATGACAAAGCAAGAGCACACCGGTCTTGTATTGTTACTGAGTACCTCCAACAGGAGAACATACCGCTTTACCATGGCCAGCACCCAGTCCAGACTTGTCACCCATCAAACATGTCTGGGATATCTTTATATGACGCATAGTCACTGTCAACAATCACCGACCACTCCCAAGGAACTTGGTTCTGTTCTGCAGGAAGAATGGAATAGTATCAACCAAGATGACATTTGGACGTCTGCCTTGCCTAAGACCCAAGGCCTGACCACCCTATCTATTGAATCGCCCATGGGACAGGCATAGGTTCCAACCAGGGTCCAGACAGGGAGTCCGATACTGACACAATGTCCGTCAGTAGCGGATGCTGCCCATTGTATATCATTTTCATTATTATCATTATATTTTCATTATTCATTATTTTCAGTGAACCATGCATATATCCATTTATTTGTTTGTTTGTTGCTTAACACCTAACTCCAGCAATATGACGATGGTCTGTAAATAACTTAGTCTGGACGAGACAATCCAGTGGTTGACAACATGAGCCTCGATGTGCGCAACACGAATACGATGACATGTGTCAACCAAACTTGCGAGCCTGACCACCCGATCCAGGGCCCCGTTTCACAAAGCTATCGTAGCGCTACAACTGTCGTAAGTCTATGTTACATTATAGGAGGTACGACAGTCGTAGCGTTACGATAGCTTTGTGAAACGGGGCGCTGTTTATCACCTCTTACGACAACCATGGCTTGCTGAAGACCACTTTTAAACAGGACCTTCATGGGGCTTTCTGCCATTTACCCAAAATGTGTCAGATCAAATGAACTGACTTTTGTCTGTGGTTGACATTTCATATTCAGACATCCATATTCGGGAATCTGTGGAACGTTGTCCTGGAAGTCATTCAGTTCGAAAAGAACAACGGGTACGTGAGATGAGACACATTAAAACTTAAGCGTGGTTTCAGAGATAAGATACTATTAATCTAAAATGGGCGGGCTTTTGGACTAGATCTGTGCAGATTAAACTGTATACTTATGAGAATCACCAAATGCAAAACTTTCTTCAGACGTGGTTAGTTTGTTGTCCGAGATGGAGCTCCTCGTTTCTATGGTGATTGCTTTGTTGCTGGGGGTAACCAGTGCTCAGACTACTGATGTGACGCCAGGTAAACCCTTTCGATCTTCTTAAGTTTCCCGTATTACACAGTTTTGAGAATTTGTTCTTCACCAGGAAAATGTAATCCCAAATATATCATTAGTTACAGTTGACCACTTTTTGAAAGACATTGGTTCGTCATAGCTTGACATGACGTCTTTGTCAAATTTACACTTATCAAAGGGGTACTCAAAGTACGTGGGCTAGAATATCAATTTTTGTTAAGAATTTTGTTAATAAACATAAAATGTGTCCCATTTAAGGCGCCCTCCAGCTGATATTGCTAGTCTGTTGACAAAGAACAAGACTGGATATGATCCGTTTTAGCCAAACCAAGCACATAGTTTACGAACAGAGGAAAACGTTTAGAAATTTTGAAAGTTCTTGGATATGTAGTAGACTACGTGTATTTCTATGCTTTCATGTTTGGATATTTTCAGGAATCGTTTTTCTGATATTTAAACATGGGCAAGTCTTAAACCCAAGCTGATTTTCACAGTTAACATACAGTAAAAATACGCCTGGGGTCTAATATAATTTGAAGTTGGAAAACCTATTTTAGCCATGCCTATGCACGAATTGAAATTATGTTCAATGGCTTCACTATGTCGTCAATCCAGATGTGTTCACCGTCAATGTTGGAGCATCTCTGACAACTGTTCTCAAAGGTAACATCCATCGTTTTATCAGTTTTGAAATATTAATCAAATATATGCTAACATCCCTGATGCATTTTTGTATGCGTTTGACAATGAATTTGCTACCTGCCATATTTATCAATCCCACTGTGTCCTTAATATCAGTCCTGACTTAAAGTGAAATTGTTTTAAACATTACCTGGAATTGATATGTCCCATGTATCAACTCTGAAATAATATTAACAAGCCAGTGACGGAATACGAATTGTGCATCTTTAATCCATATTCTCATGGAATCCATAGAGTTGCCTAAAACAGTTAGCTGAAATATACACTGATCGTGACTGACATGTCATCATTTTTGTTGCAGCCAGTGGCTCCACCTCAGGATCAGGTATATGTATAGTTTAGATACTTATATACACATACGTAGATAAAATATATATGTACATACGTAACTGAAATATATGGACATAAGTAGATGAAATATATGGACATAAGTAGATGAAATATATGGACATAAAGTAGAGGAAATATATGGACATACGTAGATAAAATATAGGTACATACGTAACTGAAATATATAGACATAAGTAGATGAAATATATGGACATAAGTAGATGAAATATATGGACATACGTAACTGAAATATATGTACATACGTAACTGAAATATATGGACATGAGTAGATGAAATATATGGACATAAGTAAAGGGAATACATCGACATAAGTACATCAAATATATGGACATAAGTAGAGGAAGTATATACAATATTTGGACATAGGTATATGGACATAAATAGATGCACTATGTGTACATAAGTAGAGAAATATATGTACATAAGTACAGGAAATGTATGTTCAACAGCAGAAGAAAATATCAGTAGAGGAAATATGTGTACATACATACATAATATACATGTATATAAATAGATAAAATGTATGTACATAAGTAGATGCAATATATGGACATAAGTGGATGAAATATAGGTACATAAATATATCAGATATATGTGTATAGCTAGATGAAATATATGTATATAAGTAGGTGGAATATATGGACATAAGTAGATAAAAGATAGGTACGTAAATAGATGAAATATATGTGTACATACATACATAATATACATGTATATAAATAGATGAAATGTATGTACATAAGTAGATGCAATATATGGAAATAAGTAGATGAAATATAGGTACATAAATAGATGAAATATATGTATATAAGTTTAAGAAATATATTCTGCTTCGTTATCTTTACTATTCTGTTTCGGTTAAGTGAACCACCATTGTATTACACATTACCTTCATATATGAAGCAAATGTGGATGGTTTTAAAACGATAATGTAACTGTAGACATATGTTCTATTTGTATGATGTTATATATTAAATTAATGTTGGCCTTCTTTTAACATAAACCTGCCAAGACACGAATTTAATAGACCGCTCTACCATTTCTAATTACAGCAGTGACCGCGACCCCGTCAACGGTTACTAAAGGTGGGTCGCGAGCATAAATGTGAAAATATTCTGAGGAATAAAATTCAGCCCAGTCTGTAGCATATCTATTCATGTGTACATCGTTCTTCAAACAGAGCCAATTGCGTAGATCGATGCTCATGCTGTTGATCACTCTATTGTCTGGTCCAGACTCGATTATTTACAGACCGCCGCCATATAGCTGGAATATTGCTGAGTGCGGCGTAAAACTAAACTCACTCACTCACTCAAAAAGAGCTCTGGAAACTGTAGTCAACTGCGTGGTGTGGTGGATAGAGCGTCTGCCCGGAGAGCTGAGGTTCGAACCTCTGCCACCATGTGCCAAACATGTTAAAAGATGGGATTTGTTGTTGCTTTGCCTGGCGCTCAGCAAAAAAGGGATATCGTTGTCGTTAGAATAATGTATTTGAGAGGGGCATGAACGTGAACCTTAAATGGGGACTTTAGTAAAACAGCTACACACACAAGTGCATGCAAGAGGTTTATGGCGTGAAAAATCCGTGAGATTGAATATTGCGCCAGGATCCGGTGATGTGGACTGGAATACCGGCACCTCAACCCTCTCACCGGGTTGGTGTCACCGACGACGTATAGGTCGTGCCCGCTTTCGGACTCTTTGTACTCACTTTCATGTGTATGTGGCCTATGAAGATCGGGTTAGAATCTTCAGTAACCTATGCTTGTCGTAAGAGCTGACTAACGGGATCGGGTGGTTAGGCTCGCTGACTTGGTTGACACATGTCATCGGTTCCCAATTGCGCAAATCTATGCTCATGCTGTTGATCACTGGATTGTCTGAATTCGTTCTACAATGACTACCACTTTCACTACTTCCCTATACCACAGACTGCCATTCACTGCCGGCCGATCTGGTGTTTCTGCTGGACGCTTCAGGCAGCGAGGGCGCCACAAACTTCCAGGACCAATTGACCTTTGTCTCTAATATCGTGGACAAGTTTGACATTGGACCGGACAAAGTACAGGTTGTATACAGACTCAGTATTCATATCCTACACAGTATTTGACCACTGGCCACAGATATGAGTCAGTCAGTCAGTCAGTCAGTCAGATATGGATTTGCTGCTGGTAATTTCACACAAAACCAATGTGTAGACAAAATATTTATCTATTTTTGATAATATAATATTTTGTTCCTTACCAGCCAATAAAATTAAAAGGAAAAATGCTGTGAAATGTTTTCTAAAACAATTTCATGGAAGTCTTATCTGTCTACAAATGCCTCGAGAATACAGTCTCTGCTGACCTTTCTTACAGATAAGATCTGTACATGCATGTTGCATGTAAAAGTTAAAGACTTGTCATTCCTATTGCTCACAACTTCTGGAATGCCTCACAAGCAGTTTAACTTCTGAACGCCTTTAAAAACTATTGGTCAAATATTGTACATTCATAAATACATAGCTGTCTTTGGTGCACTCACACTTATATAAGCATCAACTCGGAGAATTAGAGCTTGTAAATCGTAATTCAATTTATGAGAAAACTATCAAACATTATCGATGTATGATAACCCTCGAGTACACTTCCATTAAATATTACTTAGAATATCAAACAAATTAAGGTCCTTCGTCAGATGCCTTATGAACAATAATAATAAAGCAATAGTTCTTAGGCCATCTGCATCTTTCATGTGAGAAATACATTACAATATTTTAAACATATTTTTCACTCATTGTGTAGTTTATCTTCCGAATTTTTAAGAAATATATCATAGTTAGAGTTTATGTATGTGTTTAGAATGTAATTAGTTCAAGTTGATTTGCTAGCGAAACAATTATTGTTGATAATTTTTCTTATGTTAATAAAGAAAGATAAAACTGACCTTTCTTTTACGAGAGTGCAAGAGTAAAAGTATGTTTGTATCATATCGGGACATATATTTCCACAGAGGCGGAGAATATTGAGATAAGAAAACTATATATTCTTTTTTACGTCGGAATGAAAATTCAGGTGAGACAGGAGCTTGGAACACACATTAAATTACATTTGTGACGTCATTCCATTGTCTGCTCGCTTCATTACTTTTCAGGAATGGAGCGATGTGTACCAGTTTCAAATTTAAGACATCATTTTGTCATTTTGACATATGATTTTGATAACAGAAATATTACCAATACCTTGAATATAATTTAAGTAGCCTCGCAACTCTCCATTCCATAAAAAGCATGGGCCTCGGCTCGATTATTCTTAAGGAATGGAGAGTTACTCGGACATTACCCTCTACATAATACCGACAGCCTTATGAAGAAGTAAATATCACTGTGGGGTTATCGTTATATGTCATGTAGTGTCTTGTATTGTACAACCCATCAAGTAGAGCTACTGTTTGTTAAGGTGAGTGTGGCAACGTTTGCCACCACTGTAGTGAACGCCTTCTGGCTTGATGACTACAAGACCAAAGCTGATGTCCTCAACGCCATCAAGAACATCCCATATACGTGAGTTGTAACCACGAGTAATACAGTCGAATACCGTTATCGAACTTACGGTTAAATCGAAGTAAATACTTGGTCCCTGCATATTCCTTATTTGGTCATCATATTACGTGTATGTCGAACCACAAAGAGATTTCCACGATTTCCAGGTTTCTGTTTGTCAGTGTTCGCAGCGCTGTACGACGGAGCACGCAGCATGAGGTGTTTGCAAGGATTATAAGGAGCATAGTGTTGCAATATACAAGTGCTTAGATGTGTCAAATAATACTGAATAATATTTATGTATCCATTTAAATGAATTGGTCTCAGAAATCTGGACTGGTTATTGTACTAAGTTGCGCAATAGTACGGAACCTAGTCAACATGGAACGAGACTGCTGTGTAATCAATGTTTTGACTTGCAACGTATGACAAATGTTTGTGGACCCTTATCGCTTAGGGCAGTGTGTAATGTTTATCCAACCATATTAGTGAGCCGATGACAATCCCAACCACAAGGCACTGTCTCGTTTGATTGAACCGTAAAGTGTGGCTGTTACTGTCACCCATGAAGATCCGGGTTAGAACTGATCTTCGGGAACCCATGCTTGTCGTAAGAGGCGACTAACGGTCGGGTCAGACCAGCTGACCTGGTTGATGCGTGTCATAGCACCCAATTGCGTAGATCGATGCTCATGATGTCAATCACTGGATTATCCGGCATAGACTCGATTATTTATAGACCGCGATATGGCTGTAATATTGCTCAGAGCGGCGTTAAGCAAAAAACAAAACAAAAAAATACAGTTACTCTCTGTGGCAGCAGCATTTATGTACTCCTGCAGGTCTGGGAATACGGAAACCGGCGATGCTCTGATGCATGCGCTGCAAGAAAGTTTCTCAGACGCCCATGGAGCGCGGAACAACTCCAACAAAATCATTTTTGTTTTGACCGATGGTCAGTCCACGGATCGTAAAAGCACGGCAGATGCAGCTAACAAAATCCACAACACCAACATCCGCGTCATCGCCATCGGCATTGGCAACTCCATCGCCGCTTCGGAACTGGACACTATCGCCAGCGACCAGAAGCATGTGTACCGAGTTGCCAACTTCAGCGGTCTGGCCAGCATTGAGAAGGAGGTGGAACAACAGACATGCAAGAGTGAGTTCCTTATTACTAATGAGTGAGTGAGTGAGTGAATTTCGTTTTACGCCGCACTTAGCAATATTCGAGCTATATGGCGGCTTTCTGTAAAGAATCCAGTGATCGATATTTTGAGCATCGTTCTACGCAATTGGGATACGATGACATGTGTTAACCACGTCAGCGAGCCTGACCACCCGATCCCGTTAGTCGCCTCTTGCGACATCGTATCCCAGTTGCGTAGATCGATGCTCATGATGTTGATCAGTGGATTGTCATTAGTTGATTATTCTACAGAGCGCCGCCAAATAGCTGGCGTATTTCACAAGTTTGCACGTACTCTCAGAATGATTTGATAAAGGAAAGTCATCAACTGAATAATTGTTTTTTTAAACAAAACGAAACAGACATCGTGATATTTAACTCCATTCTGAGAAACATCTAGCTGCCACTACATCTTCCGAATAAAGACTTCAATAAAAACGTTTTTGTGTTTCAGCCGAGGGCTTAAGTAAGTACAAAATAACACCATCGAATATCGGAAGGGAGTAATGTTGTTAAAGTTGAGCCACTGAAGAGGTAATATTCTTTTATACGTGAAATAATGAATATGAATAGATAATGAATTATAGATGGTTCATTTTACTGTATTGAAAATGCATTCATATACATATACATATATTAATATATGTCAACACAGGTATCGTTTAATAACGTCAAATCGTATGTATGGCAATCTACCTTCAGTTGCTGGCGATTATGGCCTGTATTTCTATTGTATTGTCTAACTAGAGATATTTTTAAGTTACATACCAGTTTTAAACATCTAACTGTGATAGGCTAGAGTTGTATTACTGACCTTTGGTGACATTTTCAATGCTATAACATTATATATTATTAACGTATGACCCGTATAAGTCACCATATTGCTGAAATATTGTCCATGTGGCAATACATTTTAACTCACTCACTCAAATAATTTTAAACCAATTCAGTCTGCAAATCGAACCCCGCCGACATCTTGTTCCTCTTGGATGCTTCTGGTTCTGAGGGGTCTTCCAACTTTGATAAGCAGCTCAACTTTGTAAAGAACTTCACGAAGGACTTCACCATCGGCCCTGACGCTGTCCAGATCGCCGTGGCGACTTTCTCCACAACGACAACTCCCGCGTTCTGGTTCGACGACTACGACAATAGCACAGATCTCATGAATGCCATAGACAAGGTCAAATATGTAGGTGGAACCACTCATACAGAGATGGCTCTCAAGTAGGTCGGTCAAATTTATCCTTTTTTCAATAATTGCCCTAATTAAACATAATTGCGTTTGACAGGTGTATGGATTATGGGTTTTATAAAAGGGGACTACTTTTGTTAAGACGGATGGTCTGCCAACGAACGTCTGAATTACAATCATACGTTTATCCCAAGACATCCAAGGTTCAGTTACTTTATACCGCTTATACGAAATATTGTTTGAATTGGGTTTTTATTCGTAAAAATTCGTAACACTGTAGGCCCTATTTGGAAATAAAACATTATCGCTTTTGCAAGTATCATATTCATAAGGTGCTGATGTATGTACAATTGAAAAGATGCTTCAAGTATACTATGCCATACATTGATATATTCTGAGATTATACATGTCCAATTATTTTAGATTAGGAGAAACGGCGTTCACAGCAGCTAACGGTGCCCGGAACAACTCCAACCACCTCATCATCATCCTCACCGACGGCCAGTCAACAGAAAAAGCACAGACCAAAGCATCGGCCAACAGCATCCACGGCGCCGGTACTCAGGTAATCGCCATCGGCATCGGTAGCAGCATTGACCAACAGGAGATTAAAGACATCGCCTCCGGTGACGGCGACCAGAACGCCTTTGCCGTTGCCAACTTTGACGCCCTGCAGACCATCGAGAAGGAGATCCAGACTCAGACGTGTAAAAGTAAGAAAACAAACATGATGTGTTGGAACATACACCCATAAAGTCTGAAGAAAAAAGGTTATCCGAAAACAATTTAACATGGAACAAGAGGCGATGAGATAGCTTATTGGTAAAGAATAATATCATATTCGATTCTACAAGCGAGTCACATATGAATCCAGTCCTTGGTGTAATGGCTGAAATATTGCTACGAAATTCCAGATCCATTTATATGGTGTGTGTAAACTGACTTTGTTACTCAAATTAAGACATAGCCAGGTTTTCATTAACCGATTAAGGCTTCGATTAACATTCAGTCAATAACCTGTCTTCGATCCAGACTAGACCAAACGCTTACGTTGTAACGCCACGAAACACTGCCACGGCCAGCTTTCACTAATGCCCCCTTCTCGTTCTGTTTTCAGCGCAAACAGGTATGTGTTCACTATATGTAAGGAAATGATAAACGTGAGTATGTTATCGTAGTGTTGCGTGTACACGTTTGATCCAAAGTGGTACCAGCACCTTGTGTTTCTAGGAAAGTGTGATCCAAAGTAATACCAATGCCATGATATTCTTGTAAAGATGTGATCCAAAGTGACATAACAACGTATGGCATGGCTTTACAACTTCTTTTTTATTTACAACACGACGTTTCCGGGCTACCTCTTGTCCCTTCATCAGGTGAATTAAGGAATATGGTCACAAGCAACATATATAGTACGTTCAGAGGCCAGTGAGATGGGATTACAGAATGAGATGTAAACTCTGTACATCTCAATCACAACTTAATCTCCTTCATCTCTGTACACCTGAGAGACACATTAACGCCTCTTTTCAAAGCTGTTTTTATACCTGTGTCGTAGCATGCAGCTCGCAGCCGGCGGATGTGGTGTTTCTATTAGACACGTCCAGCAGTGAAGGGTCAACCAACTTCAACAAGCAACTGGACTTTGTCAACAACTTCGCCCGCGAGCTAGAGATCGGTCCCAACAACGTGCAAATAAGTGTCGTGACATTTGCGACGGCCGTCAAGAATGAGTTCTATCTGAACGCCTACAACACAAAAGCCGGACTGCTCAACGTGAGTACAGGCGATGAATGTTGAAACATGATCTGGATGAGTCATTGATGCTTGATGGATTTCGTTAAAAATTCGTATTCTTTCACCCCTAATTTATGAAGAAGCAGCATTCTATAAAAAGAGTATTAATATATTTGATATGATGTTTGGCAAGATCCACTTCATAAGGCGTGATTAGAGTAGAGAGCTTTCGGGATGACATCAAACAAATACTTTAGTATAATCAAGAATATTTTGATGTTTATGTGTATTCCATAGTACCATCAAATCGGAGAATATCTTTGTGATAACCTTTATTACGCGAAGACTGACTGGCTGACTGAGTTTGGTTTTACGCCGCTTTTAGCAATATTCCAGCAATATCACGGCGGGGCACACCAGGAATGGCTTCACTCATTGTACCCATGTGGGGTTTCGAACCCGGGTCTTCTGCGTGACGAGCCAACGCTTTAACCACTAGACTACCCCACCGCCCCAATTACGCGAAGAGACGGTGTTGTACCCTGGTGGTTAAAGCGTTCGCTCGTCACGCTGAAGACCCGGGTTCGATTCTAGACATTGGCAGAATGTGTGAAGCCCACTTCTGGTGTCCCCCGCAGTGATATTGCTGGAATATTGCTAAAAGCGGCGTAAAACTACACTCACTCACTCACACTCACTCATAAACAAGTTTGCTCAATTAAAATATTCAAGATTAAATGGCCTCGATAACGTTTGGTTAACAGGCAGTCCAGAATGTACAGTACCGCCCGGGCTTGACTGCAACAGGGAAGGGACTCAAGTTTGTTGGCGAGAACAGCTTCCTACCACAAAATGGCGGCCGTCCCGGCGCGCAGCAAGTAGTCATTGTCGTCACTGATGGTGAATCTCAGGAGAAGTCAGAGACGGCCAGTGAAGCGGAGAAGGTCCATAAAGCCGGCATCAAGGTCATATCGGTGGGCATCGGTAGCAGCATCGACAACGGAGAGCTCACCGCTCTGGCCAGCAGTCCTGCCTTTGTGTTCAAAGTGGCAGATTTTGATGCTCTGCAGAAGATTGAGACAGAGATACGACAGACTACATGTAAGATGGTTGTGAGTTAACACAGATCGATATACTAGAAACTATATGTAAGATGTTATTGATTAACCCAGGTGGATTTACTAGGAGAAACTACCTGTACGATGGTATTGAGTTAACCCAGATGGATTTACTAGTAGAAACGACCTGTACGATGGTATTGAGTTAAGCCAGATGGATTTACTAGTAGAAACAACATGTACGATGGTATTGAGTTAAGCCAGATGGATTTACTAGTAGAAACTATCTGTACGATGGTATTGAGTTAACCCAGATGGATTTACTACAGTAGAAACTACCTGTACGATGGTATTGAGTTAAGCCAGATGGATTTACTACAGTAGAGAAACTGGATTAACCTGTATCTGTATGGTATTGAGTTAAGCTATCAGATGGATTTACTGGATTTACTAGTAGAAACTACCTGTACGATGGTATTGAGTTAAGCCAGATGGATTTACTAGTAGAAACGACCTGTACGATGGTATTGAGTTAAGCCAGATGGATTTACTAGTAGAAACAACATGTACGATGGTATTGAGTTAAGCCAGATGGATTTACTAGTAGAAACGACCTGTACGATGGTATTGAGTTAAGCCAGATGGATTTACTAGTAGAAACAACATGTACGATGGTATTGAGTTAAGAAACTATCTGTACAGATGGATTTACTAGTAGAAACGACCTGTACGATGGTATTGAGTTAAGCCAGATGGATTTACTAGTAGAAACAACATGTACGATGGTATTGAGTTAACCCAGATGGATTTACTAGTAGAAACTACCTGTACGATGGTATTGCGTTAAGCCAGATGGATTTACTAGTAGAAACTACCTGTACGATGGTATTGAGTTAACCCAGATGGATTCTTTTAGTAGAAACTACATGTAACATGGTACTGATTTAACCCAAATCGATCTACTAGTAGAAACTGTATGTAAGATGGTTGTGAGTTAACCCAAATCGATCTACTAGTAGAAACTACATGTAGGATGGTTGTGTATGAATGAATTGTTGTGTTTGCAGGTAAGGCTCCACAGACGGGTAAGTAGCATGTACGTGTGTGTAAAACCTGTATATCTACACATTTGCCTTCTACTAGAAATATTTCAAAATGAATGTTGCCATACTACTACTAATAGTCACCAATTCACATTTCTATTAACTTGAAATATATTTTCCCAAAGGAATTTAATATTAGATGCGTGCAAAATTGGGATTGTCATCGCCTGAAACATATTCATACTAACAATAAACACCCGCCCAAAAAAAACTTGAATTATTTCAAGGATCATTCTGTATGTGATCAGCATGCTTTTTGTTCTGACCGGGCGGTGGTGTAGCCTAGTGGTTAAAGCGTTGGCTCGTCACGCCGAAGACCCGGGCTCGATTCCCCACATGGGCACAATGTGTTAAGCCCATTTCTGGTGTCCCCCGCCGTGATATTGCTGGAATATTGCTAAAAGCGGCGTAAAACTAAACTCAGTCAGTCAGTTTTTGTTCTGACCAGTCTCTCGTTCATCCCGATTCCAGATACGTCCAGATTGACACCATTGTTAATCATAACAATGTCCAATATATTTTCTTTCTGAAATGAATTTATTCTGACGTGTACAGCTTGCAAGTCCGACCCTGCTGACATTGTGTTCCTCCTGGATTCATCAAGTAGTGAGGGGTCAACCAACTTCAAAAAGCAGCTCGACTTTGTCAGCAACTTCGTCGACGGCTTTGACATTGGTCCTGATAGCGTACAGATCGGAGTAGTCACCTTTTCAACGTCTGTCCAAAACCGCTTCTTCTTGAACGTGTACAACAACAAAGCAGCTTTAAAAGCTGCAATCACCAGCATATCTTACACTGGAGGCGTCACAGAGACTGGAGAGGGATTGGAGTATATACGAACAAGCTCTCTCAGGTAAAACAGTAACGCCTCCTGTGCTCCAAACCCTTATCCTCAAAATCTGCCTCGCTCCATACAGGTATTCCTTTATCTTTTTCGATCACTATCCATCGCTTCCTCTATGACCTCTTCCTCGGTGATTACTCTCTTTCTCTGATTGTTCTTTATTTTCTTCTTCTTTATCTTTGTCTTCTTCTTTGTCAAACATACGTCATTTCTTTTCAGCGCGGGGCGACGAGGTAGCCTAGTGGTTAAAGCGTTCACTTGCCACTTGTCACAAGGCCCTGGTCGATTCCCCACATGGGTACAATGTGTGAAGCCCATCGTTGGTGTCCCCCGCCGTGATATTGCTGGATTATTGCTGAAAGCGTCGTAAAAAGAACTCACTCACTAACTCATTCTTTTCAGCGCTGCACATGGTGCCCGTGCTAATGCCCGCCAGGTGGTCATTGTCATGACCGACGGTCAGTCGCAGAACACTGCAACCACCAAGAACCAAGCCCAGTTGTTGCGCGATAAAGGCGTCAAGGTTATGGCTGTGGGAATAGGTACTGGAATCCGTTCATCTGAACTGAACAGCATAGCCAGCGACATGCAACATGTCTTCATGGTATGTAACCTTTCTGTTCACAAGCATAACTCATTTTCGTATATCATCTATTTGAAAAAGGAAAGTG